ATACATTTTTCTCCACATGCATGACATCAAGACAATGTCTTACATTGAGGCTAGACCCATATGGAAGATCAAAGAACACTAACCTTTTTTTCCAAATATTTTTCTCCACTGATCGTTTTTCGTTTCTTTCCCAATACATCATTAATATGTTGTTATCATGTATAAACATCCTTCCCATTTAAGGCCTTTGGAGTGATACCAAACTCCTTATTTCCATTAAAATCCTTCCGCAATCTATGGTATGGATGATTTGGTCTTAGAAATTTTTGATGCCCAAGGTAAATAATCTTTTGTTCCCTTTCTTGATTGGTGGAAGGATGTATTATCTTCACATATTGGACACACTTTATATCCTTTGACGCTGTACCCAGACAAATTATTATATATAGAAAAATCATTGATTGTGCAAAATAATATGACACACAGCTTAAAGTTATCACATGTATACGTATCATTAACATCAACACCTTCCTCCCACAAAATTCTTAAATACTCAATCAGTGGCGCTAAATAAACATCTATGTCATTCCTTAGTTGTTTTTGGACCCAAAATCATCATTGATAACATCATATATTTGCATTTCATGCACAACCACAAAGATAAGTTTTAAATCATGAAAAGAACAAACCATGAAGTATGAATCAACTACATGGATAATTTTTCCATTATACAATCTTTCATCTGCAAGTCATCTAGTATTCTTTGCACCATTTACATTAGAAAACAGTCTCTTGAATCCTTAAATTATTGGCGGGTTCTACATCACCTTGGAAGGAACACCCTTTCTAGTTAAACCATCATTATCAAGCCATCACACAATCTTTCATCTGCAAACCATCTAGTATTATTTGCATAATTTACATTAGCAAACAGTCTCTTGAACCTTTAAATTATTGGTAGGTACCACATCACCTTGGAAGGAACACCTTTTCTAGTTACACAATCATCAACTTCAGCACCATTGTCCTTCTTCTTGTAGCGTGACTCCCCACACCTCGTACACTTTTTCAAGTTTTAATACTTTTTTTCTATAATATGCAATCATTATAACATGCATGTGTTTTGACATAGTCTAACCCTATTAGACACAATATCTTCTTGGCCGCATAACTACAGTTTGACAACGTGTTACCTTCTGGAAGCATTTCTTGCAACAATTAAAGTAATTTAGTGAAACTTTTATCTGTCTACCCACCTCTTGTCTTAAGAATAAATAGTTTTAAAACAACTGACAGTCTTGTAAAAAAAATTTATCTCGGATATAACGACTCTTCCATTTCACTTTTCCAAATATCTTCCATATGAGCTTTCTTAAAAGCATCAACTCTAATATCATGAATCATATCTTCTAGAGTATCATCCATAACTTCATCATCTTCAACTCTATGTGAAGCATGCATTTTTTTCTCACTTCACAATGGCATACTACAAGAAAATTAGTGTTTAACGACACAAAAATTGCGACAGTTATGTGATAACTGTCGTAATTGACATATAGAGACAGTGTTTACGACGGTAAAACAACCGTCGGCCCCCATTTAACACTTTTAACATTGATTTTTCACCAACAACTAGTCACGACGGTAAAATTAACCGTCCTAAAAGGCATATCACGACGGTAAAGCACCCGTCGCACCCTTAAACCTTTCACGACGGTAAAATTATCCGTCCTAAAATTCATTTCACGACGGTAAAACAACCGTCGCACCCAAAACCTTTAAAAATTCTCATGGGCACGACGGTAAAACACCCGTCGCAGTAAAAAAGTTAAAAAGCTCATAAAACATCTATTAGAATGTTTCTTTAACAGTATATTGGAATTCCTTGAACAAGTTCTGTTTCCGCGGCATCCTCGACGAATCAATCGGCGAGGGAACCCATTTCCTCATCCCATGGGTTCAAAAACCCTACATCTTTGATATCAAAACCCGCCTATTTAGATTCCAACGACCTTATCTCCTCTATATCAAATTCTCAATATTCGCCTGTCTTCACCTTAAATCGATTCAACCTTCTTCTATTTAGATTCAGTACTGTTTACCTCCGTCTCACTCTTCTTAACTCATCGTGGCTTCGATTCCAATTCAGTTCCATCGTCTCAACCATAGTTTCATCGTTTTTGATTCGAAGCTCTGAAAAATTCCGCTCAATTTCTGTTTCATGCCTCAACCGTGATTCAAAGCAAAACGAAAATGTCACATATGCAAAAAAAATGATGAGAGAAGAAAGAATACTTACACGTCGGAGTCACTCCGCCAACGCTTCAATCGTGATTCAGGTATGCATTCTTAATTCCTCATTCTTCTATTATTTCCGATTCACACGTATTTTCTATTGATTCGGTACAATTCAATTATTGAAGTTTGTTGTTGTGATTGGTGTTGAAATAGAGGGAATGCTTCAAGCTTGAAGTCGCGATGATGCCATTGATGATGAAGGTTGACGAAGCTGTGTAGAATATTGTAGAGAGGTTGTGTATAGTTGGCTATTAGGATGGGATGGCTTTAGATTTGAATGAAACTGAGAGTTAGTTGCTGATTGTAATTTGAGTTAGCTAATTGTTAGTGTGAAAAAGAGTTAAAATCGTCAATCTTATTAGGGCCTGACTGTTAGGAATATCAATTGAAATGGATAATTGTTAGCTTAAAGTTGTTAGAAATTGTTATGTGAGGGATTAGGTTTGTGAAGTGGATATTTAAATTGACTTGAATCTATGTGATTGACTGAATCAGTTTTGCTATGCATTGGCCTTTTTTAATTTTCTGAATGAGTGGACTATTTTTTATGGTATTCCTGAACCGATTTTATGTGTTGTAGGGTTGTTAACTGATATAATGATTGGTATTATGTCTGTTGCATTCACTTATTTTTGGTATTCGAGCTGAAGGAGAGAGTGACGCTGCTATATATTGATTTCCGAGGCTACTGCTGCGGCTGGGATGGGGTTGGTTGAGCTTAGGAGGATTGAAGCTTCCAGGGAAGTTGCTGGAACGCTTGCGAAATCGCCTAATGTTACTTATCTTCCTGGGGGAAACAACATGATGATGGCTCTTAATCCTGCTGGTTGATTATCACGGTAATCATCTTTTCCTCACTTTTCAAATTTTTGGCAAGGTCTGGGTCCCTCACCAAACTGAGGTGAATATTTCGGCCTCACTGCGGCGACGGTCGCCGAGTTTCAATTTCAGAATTGGGGCCTCAGTTAAAATTCAGGGTGGCCCAGTCCGAGACAGTATTAGTTCGACAAAATGCTACTCGTTTCTCAACAATTGATGAGTTTAACTGGCAGTATTACGAGAAGGGTTGGCATCAGTTAGTTGTTTGTGACATAAAAGCCAGAACAGACCATGGAGTTCTCTACAATTATCTGGATGCTCCTAGCTCGGTTGCCGGAAACCATGCCAATTCCTCCATGAAAGGATAAGTTATTTTACGTGTTCTATTGATCAAATATACGCTTAACTTCGCTACATGGCGGTTCCGATAAGGCAAATTTGCTAAGTGCTTGCAATTTGGATGTGTTGTTAGAATATCATATCTATGTTACTTACAATATTGATCACATGCTTTTGGTATGTTATAATTTGTACGTTGATCTTACTTGTACAATTGGATAACTTCCTCCCCACGAACCAGTTCTCGTGTCTGACATATTTTAACACAGGGATGATTATTAACTCCAGAATTGAGCCTAATTTTTAATAATGCTTGTGATAAATTGCTATGCTTTGTGGTTGTTCTTGTCTTCCATGAACCTCTAATGTTTGACTGAATAATATGAATTATGACAATGATAGCTATATCATAATAATGTTCACTCGAGTGCTAACTTGTAGCATGATTGAAGTCTGAGATGTAGGCCTACAAATCCATCTATGTTGTAAGATGATGCATTTGTTTGAAAAGGCTGATCAAATACAACAACAGATCAACCCAATAGGAAGAATAAGAGGCTGACTCACCCATTGAACCAACTGCACTGCTGCACCCATTGAACCATGACTTTCTTCCCTCTGCACTGTTGATTATCTGCTGGTTCTGGCAAAAATTCTGCTATAACAGGATGGGTGGTAGGTTAATTGTATGAAGTTAATCATATTTTACTGGCTTTATCGTGTTGTTATTGACATTATGTTTATGATTAGTTCTGATTTTTGGTTTTTTATTTCATAGATCATTTTTCAAGCAATTTTATGGATCTGTGACAAAGTTGGATTATGTAACATTAAGGCGAGGTTTCATTATGGTAAGATTATAGTGTGCTGCATTTGCTTCTATTATCTATGCTCGAGTCATGTCATTAGTCTTAGTCAAGAATTGGTATATGCTACCTCTTGGATGAAAATTTGGAAGTTGTTTGAAATGCTGATTGTTGGTTCATGAAATGCTGATTGTTGATTCTGAATAGTAAGTATCCTTAAAATAACCCAAAGTGCACAGATTCAGCATGGAATCAAATGTGAGGGAACTCTGGTGAAATTTAATAAGATTGTGATTGACTTTTCTAAGACATTGAGAACATTGTAACTTCCTCTTGCTCTTTCAGAGATACCCCTTTTCGTAGCTGTCTCTCTCATACACCCCTTTTCCTACCTCTTGTTTGTGCCTGTTTCAATTTATGTCAAAGAAAAAACTTACAACTTCACATATCTCCCAGTTTCATATTTGTTTATGGTACAAGCTGTGTAAAAGAAATAGGTGTTCTGGATGTTGACTCTGTCACAGAATATTCTGTCTGCTATCATTCTAAAGATTCAGAGTTCTCTTTCACTCTGTGTACATATTAAAGATGCAGAGTTCTATTTTGGATCAAAAGAGTTCTAGATATGTTACTGAACATATTCAAGAAAAATAGATGAATGCTGTAGGTTCAACCATCGCTCTGTCAAAGTTCAACCATCTTTCTCTCTTCGCCTATTCAAATCGATGATGAGCCACTTCGCAACGCCTCCACACGCCCTCAGAATCTTAGATATTGGAATGCTGCAGGTCGAGGTTTATGTCATTGCAGGTTTGTTGTTTCTTGGACACTACTAGCTAATCTCATGTATTTGTTACTAATAGTTGATTTTGTTTCTTGGACAACAATCATATTGAAGGATGAGAAGTGACAGGAGATGTGTGTAAGATAATAAGCAGGGTTACAAGTTAGGAGTACTGATACTAAATAACTTGAAGTTAGCTTTCAACAGAAAGATTTCTCTTTATTTTGTAGAACACGTGAGAAGCATTAAGCATATGTCTTCTTTCCCAAGACTAGATGGGCCTAAAGTTATTTTCCGTATCAGTTTTAGTTTAAGCATTAGCCACTCTTTAAGGGGTTTTAAGATTCAGTTTAAATTAGAGACTCTGGGTTTAAACTGTTATTCATTATTATTACTTTTCATTTTTGGTATATTTTACACAATTAAATGGGGCAAACTTTTTTTAATCAGTGTCATTAGCAATGTTAGCAGGAACGTGAGTCACCTTGTAACATTGCACGATCCTTCAATCTTCCAAGCACATGGGATTGGGAGTGGCAGGATCGTTGCACTATTGTAAAAATTGCAGCAAAATCGGGGTCTAGAAATCTGGCCGTTATTTCTTTCCCACAAAGAATCTTATTTTTTTAATTGAAAGGGATCCGGGTCTGGAGAAAACCCAGAACCATGTTTTGTGCGATGGTAGTGACGGCCGGCCTGTTTACTTTGCTCCTATCAAGTCAACCATCAGTACAATTAGGGTTTTCTAAGTGGGCCAAGCATGCCTAATTCCTCTCCTCTCCTCTCTTTCTTTTCTTTCTTTTTCTAGGGGGCATTGTTGTTACGGCCCACAGTTAAACTATATTTTTTTCAACTGTACCAGCATCACTATTAGTTTAATATTATTATTTATGGATTATTTTCTTTATATATCTTATTTTTATGGTTATAAACTTGGTTTGTTTTTGTGATTTTGAGGTTATTTACTTCATCTATGATAATTTTTATGCATGTGTATATAATAGCTATATATTTAAGTATATACTTTTCCCTTAATAGTAGGCTCTTACTATCCTTGCTAAGGTTTCTAAAACATACTATATTCATACTAGCAATACTTGCTTAGATCATGTGTAAAGAGTTTACATGTAAATAGTCTTTGCTTATATTTTCAGCAGAACCGATATAACTGTGATATCCTGTTTACATACCAGTTGGCTAATTACTTATCTATGATTATTTCATTGTAAATTTGTAATGAAAAGTCTGGCACAAAGACTGAAATTTGACTACCTTTAACAAGATTGTTGACAAGGGGTTATGGTACTGAATTGGATACTGTTGATGATATAATTTTGTTGTTGTCTTTCATGGCACCAAAATTGTGTTTTAATTAATGCAATGTGTTTCTCTTCCAGATGCATGATAATTTTGTGGCTGTATAAGTATTCAATATTGTGATAGCAAAATTTGCATTGGTAAACCATGTACTCAGATACTAAGTCAGCTTACAACTCGTATTACACCTTTTCTGAATACAGGTCTTAAATCTATTAGTTAATGCCTTGACCCATGATGAAGCCAATGTGCGCACTGCAGCTTGCATTTGCTTAAAAACTGTCTCACGCTCAATCAAGGTATGCTACTTGTGACTAATAGGATTTCATATCTTTTATGTTATTTATAGCTTAGTTCTCATGAAATGCCATTCAGAATTTGAGTGCAGGTTATTTCATGAATGAAAGGATTGTCATTCCATTAGTCCGGCTTCTCTCTGATCTTTGCACTTCTGTCCAAGTACGTCTAAACATATCTATACTTTTTTTTCTTTCTTGTATTAAAGTTAAAGTTAGTCCTTTGTAGCTTTCTTTCATTAAGAAATGCATAAATGAATCTGTCAGTCGTGCTGAGTGATTGGAATCTAAACTTACAAAATCTGAGGGTTAAGTTAAAATTCAATTTGATATGTACCTTTTTAGATATATAATTTGGCTCTATTCTCTTGCCTGTTCATGTAGATTAAGCTTGAAATTGAATTAGTTCAGAGATCAAGTTTTTTGCTTGACCACTTGGTTAATTAGTTATATGGTTGAGCGATATGCCTTTAGAAAGGTGTAGCAGACTGTTTGCAACATAATATGAAAGACATGTTCAAGTAGGATTTCAGTGATTTCTGTAACATCTGTATTTATATTTTGTACCATCGCTCATCTTAAAAGTTACAATGTTTTATTTATGAAGTTGTCATTATTTATCCGCTCTTTGACATTTGTTGATACTCTATTCACGATAATGCATGCTTGTATTGAGTTTTTTAAACTATCCTTTATTTACTTATTTAATAATTTAGAGTTAGTTAGTACTAGAGATGGAAAGCTTAACATTGAATTTGAAAGTATTGTAATTGATGCTGAGTAGGAGGGGCTGACTTAAAATGTTAATATTGGACTAACTGTTGGACAATGATATTCATAATTCAGCTGAGCGGTTTTGATTGACTGTATTTTTTCTTTTAATGTTATTTGGATCTTCTTGTCAAATATAAAAATACAGATATATTACTAAAAAAAATGGCATATTGTTGAACAAACTGAGCTGTTGAGCACTAGCAGTTTGTACATTGTGCTAAAAATGAGTGTATCACAAAGGCCATATATGTTATCCAATTTATAATTTTATTAATGATAATTATAAGTTTTATCTTGTGCTAAAAATGAGGGTATCACAAAGGCCATATATGTTATCTAATTTATATTTTATTAATGATAATTATATGCTTACCTTTGATTGGTTCAAACATGAACTCTTCTCCCCAACTCTTCATCTCTTTCCCAAAAGTTATACTTCCTGACTAATCGTATTTACAGAGATTTTACCTCATTAGTTCTTAGTTTTGTTAAAGTTAGTAAGTATAACTATTTCAATGTTGTCTTCCAGGTTGCAGCCCTTGGTGCTATTAGCAACATAGTAGTGGACTTTACACCAAATAAGTCAACAATCATACAATGTGGAGGCATTAAAGAGCTTGTCCATTTGACAAAGTCTATGGATTCGTCTTTAAGGTTGAATGCTGTGTGGTCTTTGCGGAACATGATATTTCTTGCGGATAAGATGTGCAAGGAAGCAATTTTTATGGAGTTGACTGCTTCTTCAGTAGCTACCCTTATCTGTGATCCTGAGCCTTCTTGTAGAATATTGTAACATTTTTTGTAATTCTCTCAAGTTGTAGCAAACCAATGTAAATATTAAAATGAAATTTGGCCTTTGATGATATTTGAATTTTTCTTGTTTATTGGTAAAATTTGCACTTCTTTTTACCTTTGATCACATTTTTTTTGATATTATTGATGATTATTTGATATTAAATGTTTTTATTGTAATTAACTTTATTATGTTGAAAAGTGATAGAAAATAAAATAAAAATACTATAAATAAAAAAATATTAAAGTAAATAATAATTTAAATATAATAGTAAAATATTATAGTAAAATAATATAATATTTAAAATTATTTTACTAAATAATAATTTAAATAAAAATATTATTTGAAATTTATAAATCAGATTACGACGGTTAAAACCGCCGCAATTTCTAACCTACGGCGGTAGAATAACCGTCGCAAACAACAACAAAAACAAAAAATAAAGTCAAATTCACGACAGTATATAACCGTCGCTATCTGTTGTGCGTGACAGTTTTTGCAACCGTCGCGAAATAGGCTGGGGACGCACGATTCTGCGACGGTACTTCTACCGTCGTAGATTGTAAATTGCGACGGTTTTAACCGTCGTAATCAGCCAAAATAACCGTCCCAATCTATCATTTTTCTTGTAGTTGTGTAATTTTGAATAATTTCATCACGACCACAATGATTGAATACAATAATCGTTGGATATATTTCCGTATTTCAGAAAATTTTACAAGGACACCAAAAAATCTCATTATTGTTAGGAAGGTTTTTTCCGTGAATTCAAGAAATTAAATCAATACATTCTCACGCTCTTTACTTAATTTATTGGCTCTCATCCAACTACGATCCATAATAACATACAAGTTGTGAAATAAAAATAAAAATGAGCATTTGAAAATAATACTACAATAACAATAAACTACAACAACTACAAATACCTAAAAAACAAAACTTTACATTATACCCTAAAATACCTAATTTGATTTATTCTCAAAAACCATGATAATAATAACAACAACAACAAAAACAAAAACAACAACAACAACAACAATAACAACGTAAACAACAACAATGATAACAACATTCACATGGGAGAGTTTACATACCCGAAACATGAAAAAAAGTGTTGATTTAATATTCGAGCTTTCTTCCTCCTTGGAGAAGATGATGTTTCAGTTTGTTTGGTGGATAGAATGGTATTTCAGTCGTAGAAAAGTTTTAGGTCATAAAAAGTGAATGAGTTAAACTTAATATTTTGACGAGTGAGATAAAATATTAATTAGACTTAACATCTCAATTTCCAGAAAAAACTGAGGTAACTAGCCAAGGTAAAAATTGCGTTCAATTTGTTTAAAATAATTTTAATAAACTTTTAATGTCGATTTACTAAAAAACCGAGGTATAAAATGATTTACAAAATCAAGACGAAATTTTGGTTCTGAATAAAGCATAAGTTTGTAGGAGTTGTGAATCAAAGCTTAAACCCTGAGCTACATAACTTATCGATTTTCTAAAAAATAGAGGAATTAGATGAAACTTTTAAAAATAAAATCAAATGACACGTTTCAGATTATTTGACATTCAGATATTTCTTTGGCTGGGGTAAAAGCTTCGTCATGAAATGTATTATTTATAATAGTGATTGTTTTCAAAAAGACCAATTTAAAAATATTTTCTTTTCAAACTCAGAGTTTAATAAAATCGCTCGTCATAATAGAATTTTGTAAAATATATGTGATTGATATGATTGTCGTATACACTTATACTAGAAACAAAATGAAAAAAAGATAATGATACTAAAGATATCAATGCTTCAATTGAGTTTATTAAATGAATTTGGATTACATTGACTGCTTTAATGGAGTCTATTAAACTCAATTGAATTAATAAACTCAACTGAAGGAATCCACATTTGATGTAATAAACTCAATTGTGTTTAACTCGAGAAATCACAATTGAAATTATTGTATCTAGTGAGGATTGCTTGTTTCACCAAACCCTGACTGAACATATAACTTTTTAAATTGGTTTACAAAATAATTATATGAACAATTATGTTATATTTGAAAAAAAAGTTACACTAATCAATGATTTTCGATCATCATGTAACTTATTATTCATCTCTCATTTTTAATAGTTTGAACCTCGTTCAATATTTCAAATTCTTCATTCAACAATTGTTTCTCTACTAATTCATTCTTCAAAACATAAAGTTTGATGCTTTGAAAAATGACCAAGTATAGAAGAAATTTGAATGAAAACTAGAAGCACTGAGAGAGATTTTAACCATTAAAGAATGTGAGATGAACGATGAGTTACAAAATGCTCGGAAAAATATTAATTAGTGTAAGATATTTTTCAGATAGAACATAGTTTTTCATATTATTATTTTCAAAATCAATTTAATAGGTTATATGTTAAAAAAGGGGTTGGTGAAACAAACATTTAACATTTAGTATAATAAACTCAACTGTATTCTTCATCACTCTAATGTAATCTTAAAATATTTGGTGGAACAATATGAATGTTGCACAAAGAACCACAAAAACATAATCTCAAATTCAAACTCATTAAAAACTAAACAACGTCATATAGCTTTCAAAACTTTTCTAAGTACGTAGAATGACTAAAAATCTTAATTTCAATATCAGACTCGATACATTAATTGAAACTTTTTCAGATGTGGAGAAGGATCCAATTATATTAACTAAAACTTATCCCCATTATTTTCAGATGCCACTGTCATACCCCAAATTTATTCTACCCTTTTATAAGGCACGTATGGCTTATGTATACCCATTCGTAGGTCATTTAGCATTGCATGCATCATTGATGGTCATGAGATCAAGGCATTTCTTTCTAAAAGCTACATAAAAATAGACTGTTTCATCGGGCAGCGCAATAGTGCAAAACTCTGGTTTTCAAGGCTTAAATGTGTTTTTCATGTTTCACAACCTATCAAATCAATAATCAGTCAAGCTATCCTCATGAAAAGCTCTCATATACTTCCGTGCACTCCGAACTGCAAAGAAATTGGGTGTTTCGGTGTATTCGGGACAGTGTGAACCAGAAACAGGGGTTTCACTAGTTTAAGCTCAGAAATTCACATCTTGCAATTTGGATATTGTTTTGAGTTTATTCCATAGGCATTGGAACCGTCTCGATATTTTCTTTATTTCATTTGTTCAAGCCGTAGCCAATTATGTGCAGAAAGTCTTCAAATAATATGATTTCCCTGAAACTATATTTGAATTTAATGACTGGTTATCTGTTCATCGGGCATTTGGAAATTCGTAACTTCCACCTGATTCGGTATTTTCCATTGATTCTTTGAGCATTGAGACCGTCATGATTTTCTTATCATTTCTCGTTTTCGGATTAAGGGGTAATTTTGTGAGGAAAACCTCCAGGAATTTTAATTCTTTGAAGATAGTGTACCAAATTTAATTGTTGGTCCGTCGTTACGCGATCACTTGAAAATTCATAACTTCTGATTGGAATACTATTTCAGAGCGGTTCTTAAGGTGTTAAAATCGTCTTAATGTCTTCTTCAATTCGTATGTTCGGCTCAGAAGTTAATTCAGTGAGGAAGGTCTCCGAATGTGCGAATACTTTGAAGCTAAACGGTGAAAAAACAGTGAAAATATTATGCTGAACTGTTATTTTTTTGACGTTCTAAAATTCATAACTTTCGCTCAGTATGATGATTTTGAGCGGTTCTTTAGACACAAAATTTATCTTGATGCCATCTTCATTTTGTATGTTCGAGTCGAGGATCAATTCATTGAGGAAAGTCCCCAAAGTTATGGATTACCAGAGAAACTTATTATGTTGAACCAGAATTGTAATTCACTATTTTCCGATATTATAAAAATCGTAACTTCTTCGATTTCTATCGTATCGAGACGATTATTTCGGCATAATTTTACAAATGATGTCAGCTACAATTTCTCTTCAGACCTCAAGTTCAGATTTTGATATGAGGATTTTCATTCGTGGCATTCTTTCATAATTGAACGGTAAAATTAATGAAAAAATCTGCATTAGCTGAATTGGTTCTGCGTCAGTGTGCCTTCAAAAATTCACAACTTTCCCATTATTTATCTGATTGAGTTTGTTCTTTCGGCATTGCGTCACAAATTTCACAAGCTTTGATTTTGATGTTGAACCTGACATTGAATCTCGCACAGGTCCTTGTGACGCATACGTTTTTGACACTGAACAACCCAAATTGGGCCCAAATTGGATCCAATACAAACCTGGCCCAATAACCATATTATATATCAATTATTCCTCCTCATTTTCATGAAACACTATTCATTTTCTAAGTTTGCACTTAAATTTTTTTTCTTAATTCTCTCATCTCTCTCAAGGTCACAAAAGGGAAAAAAATTCAAAATAGTAAAAACTCCCTCCAACTCTCTCCACGGTACTCCCTCACTCATCCCTTCTCTGCCGTGCAGCCTCCCTCTGGCGACCTCCGGCGACCTCCAGCTTCTTCCGCCACCTCCAGCGACTCTACTACCCTTTCCGCTGATAACTCGCGGCCGACTCCCTCTCCGCCCACTCCCTCCGCCATCTCGCGAATCTCCGGCCTCTTCTCTTACTTCTACTTCATCATTCGATTCCGGTAAGCAGTCTACACCTAATTCTTGATTTTAAGTGCTTTTTACATAATTTTTTTTTGTGAATAAGCATGTTGTAATTTTCTTGAATTGAGATATGGTTTGAGGAGTTGATTTAGGAATTACGTTTAATTGTTGATTGTGAATTAAATTGTGAATTAAATTATGAATAATGTTGTTGATTAAATGTGGAATTGTATGATTGTGACATTAAGCACTTATTAGTTTAATTAATTTTCCATGAGAAAGTGCTTATTCAAAAATCATGTGGAGTATTTGATTAAGAGCTTTAATGCCAATTATTGTTTTTGGTTTGGTTGATTGAAAATGTGAAGAGAATTAAATTGATTTTCATGAGTTAAGGCAAGTTTAGATCACTTGATTGAT